TACGACAACGACGACGACCGACCGACGAGAGAGAGAGAGAGAGAGAGAGAGAGAGGGGTTGGCAGGAGATGGAGGTGGGGAAGAGAGAGAGAGAGAGGGGTTGGCAGGAGAATGGGAGTGGGGAAAGGGGTGGGTTGGCAGGAGAACTGGGGTTGGGGGTAAGGGTAGAGAGAGAGAGAGAAAGAGGGGGAGGGGGAGAGATTGAGTTGCAGAGAAAGTGGGAGAGAGGGGCAAGGGGGAAGAGAGGGAGAGAGAGTTCGGTGGAGGGTACCAAGACATGCATTCTTTATGAGATATAGGGTGGGAGCTGTTAAGGAAGTGGAGAGAGAGAGAGAGAGCGAGAGAGAGAAAAGAGAGAGAGTTGCAAGGGAAGGGGAGGGAGAAAGTTGTACAGGAAGTGGAGAGAATTTGGAGGGGAACAAGAAAGACAGTTGGGAGGGGAACAATTGGGAGAGAGCGTCGTAGGAAAGCAGTGAGAGAGAGTTGCAGCGGCAGCAATGTATGTGAGAGTGAATACCTGAGAAACGGTGTACAGATCCATCAGATGTGAATGACAGGTATGAGGGAGAGAAGACAAGGAGCGACCTGAGGGATACAATGATGAGAAAAGGGCTTGAGGCTCTTTCTTCTAAACGGCATTCAAACCAAATAGGTGGAATTGAATGTGTAAAATAGCACCTTAAGGATACTTATTTCAAGGAGACCACAATTCCACTTATTTTAGTGGAATAGTGATCTCCACGTTTTAGCCCCTAAAATGGGGATATGGCTTTCTGTGGGAGACATATTCATGTTTTTTTTGTGATCCCAACTAAGAAGATCGACAAATAAATGGGTCAAGTCACTTCCTCTTTCAGTCCATCTAACTATTAAAAGGAGAGCAAACACTTTCAAGGCCAACTGAAATGAACCGCTCCTTGTTCCTTCGATTGCATTCGCCAAACCACAAAGAAAAGTAATGGTCAATATAAACCAATTTACAAACCCTGAAATTCTATTTAAGGCTAAGAACAACAAAAACTACATTATCTCAAACCAAGTCCTCACATCTCTACATCTTCCCCTAGTAGTTCTTGATTGCTCTCTCTCTCTCTCTC